CATAGAGCCAAAAGAAGACCAACATTTCGAAGCAGGAGTCTTCAGTATTTTCCAGGAACATGGAAACTCTTGCTCATTAGATCATTTATAACAGCACAAGGTTTTGAAACCAACCACGAAACAATGTGGACAAATGTCCTCACCCACAACGTTAAAGATATGGTTAGGAAAGAAAATCTTCTGACCCAACAGTTTATTTGATGAAGCTGGGCATATTTACTTGGGCCCTTAATGGTATAATAAACAGTGATTTTGTCTTGTTGAAAGTATATAAGGCACACCTCGAAATTTTAAGCGGTTTCATGCAAAAAGATGTGCCAAGAAACAAATCCCATTCGGCTATATCTCTGTTAAATCTCTAAAGGACTTGGTCTGTTTAAACGTGGTCTTGGAAGTCGGCTTTTATCTACAGTGCAGGTCTGTGGAAAGTTTGTCGAGTTGTGTGGTGTAGGATTGACATCGCGGACCTTCGTAGAAACTTGTAATGGAAATTGCGGTGTTGACATTAGTGCATAATGATGACCATCAGAGTAAGCATTGGCTAACTGTACATAACCGTTTCTGGTTTTGAGTTAATAGCGTAAGCTGCCAAATCTTTGATAACTCTTTCTGACCGAATAGTGGAATCTGACCTTCACTTATATTGCACAGTCATGTTGCGGAGAGTATTTTTGTGGTAACAGGGAACGAGCGACCAAACTTCTGATTTACAATCTGGGCATGCTAACCACGTCTGACTTATAAAGTGCGATTAACCACCAGTCGTATGTAACTTCATTAAAACTAGAAATAATATACAGCTATTAATGTGTTCACTTTGTTCGTGAAACTACTTGTTAGTTAAAATTAAATAAGCATATTGTAACTAAATGTCAGGTGAATGACAAAAACCTCAAACTAGAAGTTTTGGAATAATTCTTACTTTCTTACTCGTTTGAGAGTCTAAGGTTGAAACTGAAACCTCCAAGATAGTCTTCAGTTATTAAAATATACTTGAAAAGTAGATTCCACTTTACACGGAAGTCTGAAACATTTCATTTTTAAGAAAACTTTATGTATAGTTCATGATCTCGGATTCACTGATATTAAGAACATAAAATCACAACACAAATTTATATTTTTTACAAGTGAACATTAAGAAAAAGCTTCCAAGTGTTAAAAATGTTCCCAAAGTCTCTATGGACATACAGTCCCTTGTATGATAGGAATATATTGTTACCAGAATTCTAACATAACTCGTAGTAGATATCAAAATATTACGTACGAGTCTGTTGAATACTTTATTTTGCCTATAATCCCAAATCGACGGAAAATACGTATGAGTAATTCGAAAATGTTTCAATAATGCTAAGAAATATCTGTGTACTGTAAAATAAAATGTAACGAAACAAATAATTTTAGAATCATACCCGTAGTGGGCAGAAAGAAAGGGGGGTTGTTTGTAATCAAGCACAAAGCTACACAATGGGCTATCTGTGCTTTGCCCACCACGGGTATCGAAACCCAGATTCTAGCGTTGTAGGTCCGCGGACATACCGCTGTGCCACTGGAGGGCAGAAAGAAAGGGAGAAACTCTAGAAGATCTTTGACCATATAAAGAAAAATAAATTCACGTCTCTCTGAGAAAATAACCCGGTTAATAAAAAGGCTGTAGTTAAGTGGATGCAGAATGGATTAATAGTTTATATAGACGCAAACCTTCATTTTTTAAAGTTTGAAATCATACTTCCAGTAAAAAAAATACTATAATTCTTCCTTGATAAAATTGTAATATTAAACTTCAGGTTATTTGGTATGTAATTTGATAAGCACATTATCAGAAAACATAATATACTTTAACAGTCGTTATTTAATCAATGGTCTGCTGGTCAGAGAGTTTGGATATTTTATAAGTTTGTAATATTAAACTTCAGGTTATTTGGTATGTAATTTGATAAGCACATTATCAGAAAACATAATATACTTTAACAGTCGTTATTTAATCAATGGTCTGCTGGTCAGAGAGTTTGGAGTCACGATATTTAATGCTTATTAATCTCTCTAGTGTTGTAAGTCCGCAGATATACAGCTGGGCTACTGGGGGCTTCCGCAGTACTAAGGAGTTTAGCTCTAAAATGCTGTTAAGAACGCATGCATTTTCAGCCCTTTTCACTTACAGCGATCTTGAGTAATTGTAATAATATTTTCCCTGTTTAAGGAGAGTAAGATAAAGGATTAAGAACGGTTGGCTTAAAATCTAAATTCTGCGACTAGGAAACAGTGTTCTATGTATAAAGTAAATTTGGTCGAAGACATTTTTTCTATTTTGCTTATCATATTGATGTATACATTTTTAAAGATTTTGAAATTCAAAAAGAAATGCTTCTTTAGAATAAAAGATTGGAAAAGTTGTTTTGTCATCTCTCTCATATCATAGCATATTTAGTTAAAATAAATAGAGACGTTAAGATATTGTACTCAAAAACATGTTAATTGCAGAGTAATATCGTATTTGACTTCTACGTAATGTATTCTATCTTCAAAACTAGTAAGATGATAAGGATATTAGTAAGGCCGATAATATCGTCAACAGCGAGAATTCCCAAAATAACGAAATAACGCATTTCTGATTTTTATAAGTAGAAGCGTAAGAAACTTATATTTAATTAGCTACACTGATTGTCTGATTGATTTTTAGTTTCGCCTAAGTATATAGCTCACTTTAATCGACAGTTTGTTTAATGTCTAATGAACAGTTCAGAGGAAATTGAAATTATTTGTGTAGCTGACCGAAAGTGCTTTAAGGATTAATTCGGAGGCTACACTTGAATAAATAACTTAGTAAACTTTTGTTTGTTTGTTTGTTTGAGTAATGGGTCCGCAGACATACTGCTGTGCCACTGGGAGGGGGGAAGTAAACTTTTTTCCCTGAAGATAATAACCATCTTAAATAACTGTTTGCCTTTTCTTTTAATAACAACCAAGTCTTTCGTGTTACCATCGGCAGGAAAGATATTATTTATTCCTTTCAAAAATTCAAATTAAACCGTTATACTAAGCATGTATTATATACCTAAAAAAACAGGAGTCGCGGTACCGCTTTTGGAAGGTTTGCCTTGATATGTTTGTGATATTTTATAAATTCGCATACATGTATTTTGAACTTGTTTTACATTTAACATAGTATTTTGAAATCGTGTAGTTTCTGCATTGAAATAATGATCATTCTTACAGGGCGTTCTTTGGATGTTTCTTGTGTGTGCTTGACTTTTGGCTGTGTTATGTGTTGCAACTCATCAAAGTGGACAACGTTTAGTATTGTATGTGTAAGAAATTATGAGTCTGCCCAACAAGGTGTAACTGACAGAAAGTACAGGTTAATATATCCATGAATATTCGAAACCCAAAGCTGGATAAAAGTTTTTTTATATATGATATAAAAATTTTCAAATACAGGTTTGTATCTTACTGTCTCACATGGTATTGTAGTATTTAACTATCTTATGTGCTAGTTAGTTAGAGCAGTACAAATTAGGAAGAGGCGAACACTAGAGGGTGTATTTATTTCGAATATTCGCATAAAGCTATTTAAGAGTTATCTGCGCTAGCTGTTCCTTATATTTCGACTAGTCACTTTAATAAAGCACCCACGTCATTAACTAGACGACGCCCGGTAAGCACAAGTATGAACACGAAACAAAAACTATGAGAGCTTCTGAACTAATGGAGAAAAAATTCAATACTTTTCTAATTTCCACGTTTGTAACGGTCTAAAGTAACTCGCCGCTACAACCAGGGTTGAACAACAACAACAACAGAAATTTATTATACTTTGACCAGTTAATGAAAATGTTTATTGTTCAATTAACTGTTTACTGTACTAAAAACCTCTAGTTGATCTGACATGTTCCCTCTCAGTTTTCTACTGATAACCTGTTTTCCCTTATCTCATAAGTACCTTGTTAACATGTGAGATAGCGAATTCTGTTTTTATTTGGTTATGGTTTTGTTTATCGTTCATGTATTATTCATTCTATCGTTTAGATTATCGATGAATTTTTAGTTACATTTATAATGCTAACTCACCTTCTAGATGATCACGTTTATTCTGACTAAATATGCATGTATTATGAGACTGACATCAGTTCCTCTAGCGGTGATATACAGATATCATTAATGTTTCACAAGAATATGTAAATTGTGATCACATGAGTTGTAATCTCGTGATATAACAAGTGAATAAAACCCCCTACATTTAACTGTAACAACTTAGTTCACGAAATATAGTTGAACAGTATTATTGCTAATTATTACTCGATATTGTTAGTGATTTTGTAGTTTAAAAACGGAATATTGTTATTTTGGAAACAGGTTTTTTTACTTGTCTGTTTTTTCCTGATTCCTTTATTTATTGAAATACTTATACATTGTATTTTCATTAACGTTGGTTTCAAGTCCTGGCCAGGCACATATTTCTTTACTATGTTTTAGTAAGTTATGAACTTTGTACATCAATAGTTTTAAAGTCACACTTTGGATTTCTGTGGTCTTATATTCTCTTAGGAAATTACGAGATTTCCATAATTTTTTTTTGATTTAAAAACCAGGAAGTTTTATTAAAAATTATGAAACTTGCACAGTGTAACGTAGAAAACTGTTTAACTCGAGATGAAATCGGAATTTGTTCATTGCTATTCGCACTTACCTTATTTATATAAGAAAAATGTAATTTAGATGTTTTACTTGTGTTTTTATTCTTGCCCCCTCCCCCCACCAGTGACACAGCGGTATGTCTGGGAAATTAAAACGCTAGAAACCAAGTATTAATACCCATGGTGGGCATGGCACAGGTAGGCCATTGTGTAGCTTTGTGCTTAACTTCAAACAAACTAACACATTTTTTCATTATTTTCTTGTTTTGTAGGTTCGTACCTCTACCAGATTCAACAAGCCAAGAAACAACAACGCCTGGATTATTTATCTGATGATAACTTCTGTAATCTCCTTGTGGGAACACAAAGATGGCTGGATCTGACGTACTGAATGATTCTTGGATCTGTAACATTTCCGACTGGACATTCGAATTGTTCCCAATTCCACCAGAAGATTGCGCCCTGTGGCAGACCGTGGAATCAGTATTTGAATTAGAAAATGAAACAAAAACTGAAACGGTAGATTCTGAGCTTACATACTTACGATTTCGGAACCTAAGTCGCTTTTGGATTCAGCGAGTGTTTGTACCAATAATTTCTTTTGTCGGTGTCGTAGGAAACCTCTTGACCATTGCGATCATGACCCGTCGACATATGCGCTCCTCTACCAATAATTACCTAACGGGCTTGGCCATTTCTGACATGTTGTACTTAGTATGTATTTTGATCTTGTCTATTGCTCACTACTCCGGCATGACGGATTTCCACCACATTAATTACTGGAGACTGTGGCCCTATACTTTACTGCTGACTGATGCCTGTAGTAACACTTCTGTGTGGCTGACTGTGACCTTTACAATCGAGAGGTATATTGCCGTGTGTCACCCAATCAAAGGAAAAGTATACTGCACCGAGTCTCGCGCCAAAAAGGTGGTTATAACTGTAGCTCTTATTTGTTGCTGCTTGACCCTTCCGACCCCTTTCGAATGGACTGTTATAGAAGTCACTGAACCCCTTACTAACAAGACCACAGTACAGCCAACATTTTCTGAACTTGGAATGAATATACTTTACAGAAACGTATACTACTGGTTATGCGTGTCTTTGTTCGTCTTCATACCACTTATACTGTTGACTGTTTTCAACTTTTTCTTGATCAGGTCCGTACGTGCTTCTAAAATACAACGGAACACGATGACCAGACGCCGAAACAATCGGAATTATTCTCGACAGGAAAGCAAGATTACCATTATGTTGATTGCTGTTGTAGTCTTATTTACGGTCTGCCAGCTGCCCACAGCTGTTCTCCTAGTGTACACCACATTTCATCCCCAAATTCCCATGACTCGTGGATTAGGAAACATCTTTAACTTCTTGATGGCTATTAATTCCGCTGGGAACTTTATTCTCTATTGTGTTCTCAGTCAGCAATATCGACGAACTTTCTCGCAAATATTTTTTCCCTGTTTGAAGACTAGACTGGTCCGATTACATGTCGATGAGATGATCCCTTCTCTGATGCTACTCGTCATCCTGGACACACTGGCGTTGTCGTCTACGTTGGAGTAGCTGGTATTCTGAAAGTCGACATGTAACAGATGAATATTTCGTTTATCAAACCGACCTTCACTGCAGGAGATGATCCCTTCTCTGATGCTACTCGTCATCCTGGAGACACTGGCGTTGTCGTCTACGTTGGAGTAGCTGGTATTCTGAAAGTGCAGTGAAGGTCGGTTTGATAAACGAAATATTCATCTGTTACATGTCGACTTTCAGAATACCAGCTACTCCAACGTATACGACAGCATCATTGTCTCCGGGGGAGTGAGTAGTGTCCGAGAAGGAATCAACTGTTGTAGAGAAGGCCATTATAGTCAAGGAAATATTCTTCGGTTACATCGTGGTTTCGAAAATCGAGTCCCACGAAGGTACTTTAATTCGACTGGACATAAAAACTCAATATTTCGCGAAAAGAACGAAAGAAATAATAAAGAATGTAAGAAGTGTTTTCCTTTTCTTCGTCATAGTTGGCATAATGTGTCTGGGAACAAACTTGACTCCCAAATTGAGCAAGGAAAACAATTTGTTCAACTAAAAAGAGGAAAACATAATATACGCTTGGCCAAATCTGAGAGTATGCTGAGCTACCACATACACTCAGTTGTCTAAAAGATCTACACGTCAGGGAAATGTTTAAATAAAGACATTGTAATCGTTAAGTCAGATTATGGGAGTAAATGCTATAAATTCTTATATTGTCAAATCGAATCTCAAAGACATTTGAATTCTGGGAAAGCTGTTTTATGATTAAAAACAAAAACAAAAAAACTGGTCATGAATACCTAAAATTGGCTAAAAATATTATTTTCTAAAATGATCTGATAAGACTATTTCCCTATCCTTACTGAGAAACAAATTTAATTTGTTTTAATAAACGACTATGGCAAGATCGCATGTTCTGAAAGATCGTTTCTTAAATAGTTGTGAGTGGTTTCCACATTAAGTTAACTCCAGAGAAAGGTCTTAGTTCTCTCAGAAACGGAAAAAGAAACAACTGAACTGATTAACAATCATCATCTTGTTTTTCAAAGGTGAAAGTCAATATTAAGTAGACTTTGTGTACACCTGAATTAGTCAATAACAGATTATACTCGTAATATTAAACGTTCTAGTTCACATAGCAAGCACGTGACTAATCAGCTACATTGATGATGAGAACGTCATTTAATGGAAACATATATTTGCTTAAACTTTAAACAAATACTATCAAGAGATTACTGCTGCCCGTGACTGTTCCATTTCTATTTAAAATGTAATTAAACGACAGAATTACTTTTCTGGTCTTAAACGTAAAATTCTGATATTGGACAAGAACTATGTTTATATATTGAGTGTGTAATTAGAATTAATATGTTTACTCAGAACTTATCGAAATGATGTTGAAATTTGGAGAGGTTCAACATTTTCATATTCAGGAATGTTTCAAGTTATCCACAGATGTAAGCAAATATGTGTGTATATGTACCTCTGTAATGTTTTGTGATTTCTAAATGCCATTACGACACCATTGGAAAATAAATAAAAGGCAACAAGTAAATCGTTATAAATGTGGCTTAGTGGTAGCGACTTTGGTGCAGCATAATTACAGATCTTAGTACAGAAAAGTATGGGGTATGTTAAGGATATCCTGTATCGCACACCTATAACAAACATCATGGAGCTAAAGACCAGGATGACGGACGCTATCGCCACTGTAACTTTGGAAGTGTTGCAGGGAACGTAGACTGAAGTCATATCGGTGAGACATACGGAGAACCACTAATGGTGTACATGTAGAAGTTAACTGACATTTCAATAAAAACTGTTTGAGTTTGGCTACAAAAAGTTGAAATCTGCATGGTTGTATTTCATTAGTTAGTTAATCATTAAATTTTAGAATAGGAAAGATAACTTTGGACCATCGTATATATAAATGCATAATGCTTGTTGCGAGAATAAACATGTTTTAATTGATAAAACATATACACAGCGTGGTCACAGGTAAATAGACACCACCTTTTCAGAAAAAAAATGAAATTTTTCAGTCATATTCACAATGAATTGATATATTATAATTTAATTAAT